CATGTGTGTGTGTGTGTGTGTGTGTGTGTGTTTACAGCATGGTGATTCATTTGACACTAACTCTCAAATGAAGACGTCAGGAAAAAATCAGCTGATTTGAGGGAAAGCTGAGGGCAAGACACTATTACAGGCAGATGGGAATTTGTAGTGTAAAAATAATTAAATGGTTAAAAAAAAATCTAAATAAATAAAATAAAAATAAATCTGGTCATTATTGTTGTATGCAAAATAAAATATTTAAAATATATAAATATTAAAATATTATTTTTTTATTTTTATTTTAGAGTGAAATATTCCCCAGGTTTTTCTTGATAGGCTTGACAAGATTCGCCCAGATAGTTAAGGCCTGGACACACCAAGCCGACTTCAAAGAACTAGCGGCGATGAAAGCCGACGGTGTTGTCGCCTCGCGTCGGCAGCGTCGAACCAAAAAGCTGCGCTCGAACACACCGCACAGACTACAGCCGACGGCAAAATAAAGCCGCGTATTAGAATGATTGGGAAAGATCACGTAACATTTAAACAGCCTTCTGTCTTTACCGCCTTCATTTACGTGCTTGTTTTCATCACTTTCGCTTTAATTCTCGGGCACTGACTCGTTCGCTAAACTGAACATCCAATCAGAGCTCTCACTCGCGCCGACAGTCCCGACGGCCCCGACGCCGATTCAACATGTTGAATCGGACAAACTGCCGCCAACGTGAGCCCGACGAGAGCCGACGAGTGGAACACCAAACAAACTAGCCCGACCATCGCTCGCCAACGGCCCACCGTCGGCTTGGTGTGTCCTGGCCTTTATATTTTGCTGGAAGCTGGGAATTTGAGTATGTAGTGTAAAAAATTAAATTTTCTGTAAAGTGGTTAAAGTAAAAAAAAAAAAATGTAGGTAGAGACTTGATTTTATTCATTGGGACTTGGATTAGATTGTCAAAGTGAGTGTTACATAGGAAATTTTGTAGTTAATTGGACTGTTTCCTTCATACAACATTATTGAAATCACCACTGTCCAAGCTATAAAAGGCAATCAAATTTTAAAAACCAATAAGTAAAATGATGAAAAATTATCTTTCTTTTATTTGATAAAAGTATGTATTTAGAAAGTAATCCATATTAATTCAAAATAATCAAAAGCACCCTTGAAACAGTCTGCTCATGTTATTTTCAATGCTTTTCAAAAATGCACGTAGAAATGTTTTGCTGTCATCATTCTTGGAATCCTCATTCAGCACTTTTGGTAACACGATCAGTTCTTTAGCAGACGCTCAGACAGCGTATGAAAAGACCATGGCTTTGCTTTGTAAACAACACCTGCACTTAACCAACCACCACCAGTCATGGAGTCGGCATTATGGCCTTGACTGCATACTGTGGCCTCATTTGAACACTTAAGCCAAAACTTCACTTTTCTGAGCCAGTTTTGCAGTTACATTTAACACTGTTTAATAATATGAACGTTTACTGTTTAAACACATTATATTTATTGATTTATTAGTCAGGCTTGCTCACAGACATGGTTATGCTTTTATTCTTGTTTAACCTTGATTTGTTCATGGTGGATTGCAGAAATCTAACCTAAGTAGCTTTGTATTATATATGTACATAATTCCTAGCTTACTGTGTCTTCCTGGACGTTGCGTAACTCTACGATTTGTCAGTTCTCTGATGAAATTGCATGGCACAAGAAGACTGTTGCACATTTGCTTGTCTACTGCTTTTTTCCGTCATATCTGAGGAAAATTTTAGCACTGGAGCTGAGCTCAAACTCATGTGTGTGTTTGGTTGAAGTAAACTTAACAAATCTCACATTATGTGCTTGTGCATTTACAGATTGGAAGTGCAGCGGAGGAGCCGAGAGTGCTGTGTATAGTGCAGGACACCACCAATGCCAAGACCGTCAATGAGAGGCTGACGCTCAACCTGCCCGCCTCCACCACCGTCAACAAACTCTACGAGGATGTGGCTCACAAGGCTGGATATGTGAACGGCACTTTCTGCCTGGCGTGGGCTAACACTGGCAACATGGTGAGAGTCCTTCCTTAAAACACGCCAAAACTCTAGTTCGATTACTCCAAAACATGTCATCTTTCACCGCAAAAATCAAAAGAAAAAATGATTTTTATTGTGCATAAAGAAAATGTAATGTATGTAATGTTTTCAGAATTAATATAGCCATAATGTGTTAATATACATATATTTATTAACACTACCATTCAAAATGTTAATGTCGGTAAGATTTTGTATGTTTTTAAAAGAATTTTCTAATGTTCACCTAGGCTGCATTTATTTGATCAAAAAAAGTAAATATACAACAGCAGGGATCAACGCTAAGGATTTTGAACCACTGGCCGGTCGGCCAAAATCACATATAAAATAACATCTGCATATTCTTCACTCTGTGTTGCACCTTGATTTTTCATAGCCATTTGAAGTTACAGGCAACCACTGCATTTTAATCATGAATTGAAAAAAAGTGCAATGTTTGATTTATATTAGACTGTATAGTTTCAAAATCTGAAGCAAAAACAGAATAACCTGCCTTAAGCTTTGTGAAATTATGCTACATAAAACATCTGTATGAAACAGAAACAGCAGGTGGGCTGAATGAGACGCAGATTCACTCTCTGACAGCAGGCGGCGCTTATGGTACAGTAATACAGCGTTTCCTTGGTTACTGCTGTAAACACAGCAGCGCTGCGGGTATTAACACTAATTTAAATGCATCATACAGAGACAAAATGAAAAGAAAACGCCATTTCTGAATACAGTCAGTTCCGTTCCCCTCAGAAACACATTCATATAAAATTCAATGTTTGGATTTTCTTCCTATATTTCACGCATCGTGAACAGTGATCTTGGCCTGCTACAGTAGGCTATTTTCTCCTCTTTGTGTCCGTCTTCAGCATCTCTGGCCTCTGTTAGTGGCCGTTTACAGACTAAGTACAATAATAGCGTAATATTTCCACACAAATGGCCATTGGGAAAATGATTGCAGTGCAGTTTGTGTGCAAGCATGGAACAGAAGATAGTCTGAAATAAATCAAAAAATGTCCGGTAGATCGGTGCATCTGTACTCCAGTGTATAAATTCAATATAGATTAATCATTGTTAAAGCTACAAAGTTACTTGCCAGGACGGGTATTTTGACATACTTTTGTATGTATTTGCCCGTTCAGGCGGCTCGCACGTGTCAGAGACGCGGCTGTCTGTGCGCGCGCTGTTCACACAGAACACATCGCGCGAGTACTGAAACGAGTTGTCTTTCGCGCCCAAATGCTTTTTAATCGCTTGAATTTTTAAATTAACAAGTCTTAAAAACACATGCAAATGATAAAATGTCGTGATGACGCTGCAGTGGCCCGATCGGGCAATTGACAAATCTGACAAAATTGAAGTGTACGATCACACCGGTGTGATTAGAACGTTCAGCACGTCACATGATCAACTGCTTACACAGCGCTTGGCATATTTCAGTTTCAGACATTTAAATACACGCAAGTATTAGCAAAATATACATTTGAAGATAGTTTGTTAAATACACACTGATGTATAGTGAAGTGGCAATAGCGATCCTTACAAATATAATTTGATGACATGTTTTATTGATATGATTTAAGTTTAATATAAGTTTACTCTATTCTTGTTCATATTTGAGAATCCGAATATCAGAAATTTCATAATATAATTAACACGACGTTTACATCACTCATTCACAGCTATTGTGTGTGCGGTGTGTAACATGACAAGCCTGACGTGTCGCCATGGAAACAATAAGGCAATGCATTCTAAAATAAAGGTCGCCTAAAGAAAACTCACGCTGGGGGCTCAGCTAGAATATTTTAAACTGATGTGTGAAAGGGTTAAGAAACAATTCAGTAATCTTTGTTTTATTTACAACTTCACCCAAGTAGTAATAATTAATGAATATGCTCTGCTTATGAGTTAATAATTCACATATACTAGAGGTTTGAATTGTTTGGTGTACTGGAGATCTGCGTTGGTTTTTGAAACTTAACCCGACCACTACTGTAAGGCCAAACCCAAGCTGAAATTGCTCCCAATAGCTTGTTGAGTTCTGGTTACTTAAAGCTAGAATACATTAAATTACTTTTAAAATCGTAACAGATAATAAAACAATTACGCTAAACAACTGAGGATCACACAATAACAGACGTACAAGTTGATCCGAACACGACAAACTCAGAAACATGCTACTCATTGCTTGGAGACATATTACAAATGAAAACAATGCGTCTTAAAATCGACTCAAAATATCATACATGTTTGATCTCCTCTGCCTGGATAAGAGTCAGAGTCTGAAGCTTAAAAACCAGAGTCTGTGCCCATCGCACACTGCACGATTTTCTGTGAAATATGTCAACTTTGTACAAAATCTGCAGAGTGACTGTGACTTTTGGCAACTAGCTTCGCCTCATCCAGACTGCAAACAATTTATAATATAATTTATATTAATGATGAGCTTAATGCACACCTGAAGTTACACCGACAGTGACAGAGCCATGTTTTTACCACACCTCTGCAGCGCTATGATTAGATGGAGATGTGTCATGGACTCTGCTCCATTCTCCATCTAATTGTGTGTTAATCCCAGCGCTGACCCAGCACAGAGCCTGTAGCTGCAGGTAACTCTCAGAGTAGGTCAGTGGATTAAGGCCTGTTTCTGCTCTCCCCCTCCAGAGGAACATTAGTACGTCCAGACCTGTTGCTAATTTGCTAGTACATGTTGTCCCTCAGGTAGCACAGGCTTTTCTTTCACACTAACTGAATGCTGGGATGAGATGTGGGTTATCTGCAGTACATCAGGTTGATTATTTTCTCTCTGAAGGTCTTTTGAGACATTTTGCAGTATTTCTGCATGGTTGGACTTGCTCTTTGCATTGTTCCAGACAGCATTATGTCTCACATTGTCATTTGTTGTACTGATTGTTTTTCACTACCTCTCTTTCTTCATCCATGCTAATTTCTCTTTTTTCCCCTTCTGTCTCAACTCTACACCTGAAGGCTCCTCTGGACCAGGCCAGTGAGATGTCCCTGGTGTTGTCCGGTTTTGAGGCGGGGAAAAGAAATTTCCTGCAGCTTACGGACAAGGACGGGGAGCAGCCTCAGATCGCTTCAGTGAGTCACTATATCAGCAGTTTAACTGGGTTAAAAAAATAAAATAAAAGAAACAAATATTCATAAAAATAAAAAAAATCAATCTTTCATTTGTTCTATCACTCATTTGTTCATTCGTTCTATCAGTCTTTCGTTCATTTCATCTGTTGTTTGTTCTGTCATTTGTTGTCTATTATTTGTTTGTTCGTTTGCTAATTCCATCTGTCTTTATGTCTATCTATCTAGCTATCGTTCTGTCTATCTATCGTTTTGTAGTTCTATCTATATAGTTCTTTTTAACTAATGTTCTATCTATAATCTATCTATAGTTTTATTTGTTTAATGTTCTGTCTGTCTTATCTATCTATCTATCTATCTGTTTTTCTCACTACCCATCATTCTATCATTCTGTCATTCTATCTGTATTTCTGTCGCTCTATCTGTATAGTTCTAATTATTTAATGACCCATCTATTATCTAATCATTGTCTCGTTCTCTCATTCTATCATCTTTATTTATATATTAGACAAAAATGCAAAGAAAGTTTAAGTAAGGGGTAAAATCTGTTTATATATAATTCATTCTATCATTAATTCATTCTGTTTGTCTTTCATTCTATCGTCTTTATTTATGTATTTATATTGCACAAAAGTGCAAAGAATGAAGGACGGGGAGCAGCCTCAGATCGCTTCAGTGAGTCACTATATCAGCAGTTTAACTGGGTTAAAAAAATAAAATAAAAGAAACAAATATTCATAAAAATAAAAAAAATCAATCTTTCATTTGTTCTATCACTCATTTGTTCATTCGTTCTATCAGTCTTTCGTTCATTTCATCTGTTGTTGTTTCTGTCTGTTGTCTGTTCTGTCACTTGTTGTCTATTATTTGTTTGTTCGTTTGCTAATTCCATCTGTCTTTATGTCTATCTATCTAGCTATCATTCTGTCTATCTATCGTTTTGTAGTTCTATCTATATAGTTCTTTTTAACTAATGTTCTATCTATAATCTATCTATAGTTTTATTTGTTTAATGTTCTGTCTGTCTTATCTATCTATCTATCTATCTGTTTTTCTCACTACCCATCATTCTATCATTCTGTCATTCTATCTGTATTTCTGTCGCTCTATCTGTATAGTTCTAATTATTTAATGACCCATCTATTATCTAATCATTGTCTCGTTCTCTCATTCTATCATCTTTATTTATATATTAGACAAAAATGCAAAGAAAGTTTAAGTAAGGGGTAAAATCTGTTTATATATAATTCATTCTATCATTAATTCATTCTGTTTGTCTTTCATTCTATCGTCTTTATTTATGTATTTATATTGCACAAAAGTGCAAAGAATGCTTCAAGTGGGGGGAAGAAATTTGGACTTGAACTTAGTTTCACATCTTCATTCCCACTGTTTATGGAATCCAGTTTAGGTTGTTACCTTGTGGGTTCCTGACCTATTTATTTCCAGTAGAAATTAAGGATACCACATAATATGAATGCAATATCATAAGAAAAAGAATTTTGATAAAAGAATGAGTGTTAACTTGATATCCTTGAGGGATGGGATCTTAATTGTGTCAGGCATACTAGATGGTGAACATTGTGTGTTTAGCATTATTCATGTGTAACTCTCTTACAGGATGAATCTGGCACAGCGGACAGCAGTGGTCTTGAAGACAGCTCTCAGGATCGCTTCATTGGACCCTTACCGCGGGACGGAACTGTGGGCTGTAGCAGTGACTATAGCAGCCCCAGTTACTCGTACTCCTCCATACTTAACAAATCAGACACAGGTATCCCTCCTTTAACATGCATTGGTCATGAAGAACATGCCAACTTTGCCACATAGATTTATTTGTCTTGTGTCCTCTGTTTTCAAGGTTATGTTGGTTTGGTCAACCAAGCAATGACCTGTTACCTGAACAGCCTCCTGCAGACCCTGTTCATGACCCCTGAGTTCAGGAATGCACTCTACAAGTAAGTAGTCTGAGTGTCAGGTTTATTGGGATAACTTGAACAAGATTTAAGCAACATGCAGCAAGAGTGCCTGCAACCATTAATGCAAAAATGTATTAAATCAGTTTTGAACAGATAAATTCAGAAACTCTAATGCCATTTTTGGGATTGGAATTTACATCAAATACATTATTAAAACATCTTAATGCTCTCATGCTTACAAAGTTCAAGATAAGGAGGGATTGTGAAACTGACTTAATGACACTGAATTTAAGAATCTTTCTAGCCAAATAAAAAGTGCATTAAAATGTTGCCTAATTTTATTTTTGTTTACAAAATCATTGATATTTTGAGCATATTAAAAATTTGCCTAGCCCTAACGATTACTACATAATAAAAAATAATTGCATTCATGTGGTTAATTTGAATTTTCCATTTTATTGTCATTATTATTATTGTTCAACAGTTTTGGGGAGTGTTGTTGTAAATTAGTTACTTGTTTTAGTTACTTTTCTAGAAAATGCTCAGAACAGAGTCACTTTTATCTTGCAGGCCTTTTATATTTTTATAAACATTGGAATTGTTTTTTAGTGTGTGCTGCCTCCATTATTGTACGTTCTTCAACTGTTACCTCCAACACTGTTTTTAATCTTTCTACACCAGCTGGGAGTTTGAGGAGTCTGAGGAGGATCCGGTCAACAGTATTCCGTACCAGCTTCAGAGGCTGTTTGTGCTTCTGCAGACCAGTAAGAAGCGCGCCATCGAGACCACAGACGTGACCCGCAGCTTTGGCTGGGACAGCAGTGAGGGTACAAGGCGTCACTTAATGACCCTTTGGGAAACTTTACCCACATTAGCATTGCTGTTATCAGATAGCAGGAGGAGTCTTGATTACTGTGAAACTCTTTACCTTGTTTGTTTTGCAGCCTGGCAGCAGCACGACGTCCAGGAGCTTTGCAGAGTCATGTTTGATGCACTAGAGCAGAAGTGGAAACAGACCGAGCAGGTATGTGATGCAAGCCCCGCCTCCTCATAACATGATGCTAATCCACAACCAGTGAGATCTGTAGACTAGGACACAAGTCCCAGTGTTGAGTAAAATAAGAAGAATTTTTATAGGCAGTTCGAAGCTTTTTCTGATAGAGTTTTGTGTAAACAGCATCTTAGTCTGGGCTGGTGGGTTGGGTCAGGGGCCACGCACTGAAGAGGTTTGCATTTTTCTACACTCAGCTCATTGTTCTCTTCTAAGCTGGGGCTGTAAGACTTTGGGGTAGAAAAAAAAATTCAAATCCTGTTTGTGTGCCAGTAAGTCAGCAAAACTTGTTGTTCAGCTGAACACATGTCTCAACTTCTTGTTTGGGATTTCTCTTTGAGTTTATAGAGGGGTCCAAAGGTTAAGGCCGTGACTAGCGGCAATGAAAGCTGACTGTGGTATCGCCTGCATCTGGGACAAAAAGTTGTGCTTAATATATGACAAAGACTAAACCCAGCCAACAGCCAACTGCCCTGTATAAGAGGAAATAACTCTTCATACCAGCAGGTGGCAGTATTCTGGATACATCAATAAAAAAGGGAAACCGGAACTAAGACTGCATATATGTAAACTGTAAACAAGCAGCTTTTGCTTATAATTTTCGATTATGAATCATGCTTATTCAATTGGCCTTCACTTTTATTCAGACGGTCTTGTTATGATGTTTGTGTGTTGGAATGCTCAGATAAAGCCCGGGGCACACCAAGCCGACTTCAAAGAACTAGCTGCAATGAAAGCCGACAGTATTGTTGCTTTGCATCGGTTTCGTCTGGACTAAAAACACTGCACAGACTACAACCGACTGCAAACTAGCATGTGCGTTCTGTGCCTGCATGAGAGGAATTAAAGGAATGTTCACCCAAAAATGAAAATTAGCCCATGAATTACTCAGCCTCAAAGCATCCTAGGTGTATATGACTTTCTTCTTTCAGACGAATCCAGTCGGGAGTTATATTAAAAATTGTCTTTGATCTTCCAAGCTGTTTAATGGCAGTCAGCGGCGCTGTCCAAGCTTTGTAATGGCAGGAAATGGGGATTTTGAAGCCCCAAAAAAGTGCATAAATCCATCATAAAAAGTACTCCACATGGCTCCGAAGCAATGCATTTGTGTAAGAAAAATAACCATATTTAAAACGTAATAATCAATTTAATCTAGCTTGCGCTCACTGTTGAACACGGAAGCAACTCCGGGCGGATGACGTAGGACGTCGACGTTGTGCATGCGCCGCTCAGAAGTGACGAACGCGGAAGCGCAGGGGAGAGATCAAAACAAAACACCGGTCACTTATTAGAAGTACAAAACGAGGATTTGTAAAGAAAAATGTCAGAGGATTTCGATATAAGCCAAGAGGAGACTGGTTTTCCTTTGCTAAAGTAAGGAAACTTTGCTTCCTTTGATCCTGTTAACAAACGTTGGTTTTCACGAGACCCATTGGCGCATGCGCAACGGCGACATCTTACGGCATCCTCCCGGAGCTGCTTCCGTGTACAACTGTTGGCGCAAGCTAGATTAAAGAGATTATTACATTTTGAATATGGATATTTTTCTTACAAAAACGCATCGATTCGCTACCGGAGGCTTTTGTTCACCCCCCGGAGCCATGTGAGGCACTTTTTATTATGGATGGATGCGCTTTATTTCACTTCTTTTGAACTGATGAACTGCAACACCTGCTGACTGCCATTAAACAGCTTGGAAGATCAAAGACAATTTTTAATATAACTCCGATTGGATTCATCTGAAAGAAGGAAGTCATATACGCCTAGGATGACTTGAGGGCGAGTAAATAATGGGCTAATTTTCATTCACCTAAATTTTGCTAATAATGTCATCTATAATAGGAAAACAAAAGTTCTAATTGAATGAAATTTTTCCTTTTATAAATGGTCTCAGACTTTTAGACCAACTGTAAGTGTCATTCTAAATGTATGGGTGTTTACTGAACAGTTTTTTTTGTGATTAGTGGTGTATGCAAAGTATTTTGATGTACTGTCTTTTGTTTTGTTTTTTTCCAGGCTGACCTGATCAACCAGCTTTACCAGGGCAAACTGAAAGACTATGTGCGTTGTTTGGAGTGTGGCTATGAGAGCTGGAGGATTGACACGTACTTAGACATCCCTCTGGTCATCAGGCCCTTCGGGGCCAGCCAGGCTTTTGGCAGCGTGGTGCGTCCGGCTGTCATTATGATCATTTTGTGTAGCTGTTGCAGTATAGCTAACTAGCAGATGCAGTATTAAGCCATTTTTAAGCTTTTAAAGTTTTTTTTTTTAAATTGTAATTGATTTATATGCCCACAGAATTCACAGTTTGTTGATTTTATTACTGTTTGAAATTGAAATATGACTGCTATATGCTGAGCTACTATTGTACATTGGTCTTAAAAAAAAGAAAGAGTCCATAGCCAGTCAGAAAATATTTATAAGTGATTGTCATCCAAAGTGCTAAATAGTGTTATTTTAAATTATTTATATAGTATTAAGCTATCTGTTTATATTTTGAATTATTTATTTGTTTCCGTTTTAATTTTATATGATTCTGTCATTTTTATTAGTTTTTGTTTTAAACATTTCTGTTTAGTTTTAATTTATTTTTATTTCAGTTTTACTAGTTTTAGTACCTAAACTTTTTTTGTAGCCAAGGCAGTTTAACCTAACATTTAGATTTTTGATCAGTTTTTCATCTGATGTTTTATTTTTTATTTCAGTTAATGAAAACGGTGGTTAATAGTTTTAGTTAACGATGACAGCACTGGTGCTAAATGTCAAATGCAATGTCCAAATGAAGTGGAGCAAAAAACGGCACTTAGTCTGAAACCATTGTCTAAATAGTTCTTTGGTGGCGAACTCATTGAACTTTTGATCGACATGTTTGTCCTCGTCCACTGATTTTATGTCGAACAGGAAGAAGCCCTGCAAGCCTTCATCCAGCCTGAGACTCTCGACGGTCCCAACCAATACTTCTGCGAGCGCTGCAAAAAGAAATGTGACGCCCGCAAGGTGATTCAGATCGCAGACGATGATTGTGAAGTCCTGTACCACATTTCAGTTTCTGATGCGGTGCTTTTTTTGTCTCCAGGGCTTGAGATTCCTCCATTTCCCATATCTGCTGACTCTGCAGCTGAAACGCTTCGACTTTGATTACACCACTATGCACCGCATTAAACTCAATGACCGCATGACCTTCCCAGAGGAGCTGGACATGAGCCCCTTCATCGATGTTGAGGACGAGGTAAGATGCAGCTTTATGCTCTCTTTTCTTTGAGTGCTCGTATCCTTATTGAGTCCATAATTAATGAACTGTGATCTCATCTGCCCTATTTACACATCTGCCTTATTGAGTATTAAACTGCTAGCTCCTGTTAGGAGCACCCCATTATTATCATCAGTTAGAATACTGTGCTAAAGGACATCATTATCGATTGAAAAGTTACATTAATAAATTTAGCAGGCAGATATTCACACTGATTTATTGGGTAGGTAGGGAGGTAGCTAGAGCAGACCGCAACACACAAATAATATGAGTCACAGCCTAATAATGCAATAGTATGTTCAGTATTATGATTTTTCAATAAATGTCGCCTACTAATTCTGACATTTAGGCACTTTAGAAAATGTGTTTTAATATATTTGTATGAAATATAGGTTTGTTAAATCTAGGGTATTTTAGTAATTTTAAGATAAATAACAACATTCTGTGCTTACGAATTGCAAAGAGGTGGTTGTTTTGCATCAAGGTGGACACAGTTCTGTTCATAACAGTAGACCTGCTGGTGATAAGGTGACGGGTACAAGGAAAAAAAAGGATGAGACCGAGATATTGGGGAAAATGAAGAAAAGGGAAGTGAAGGTGCAGTTCAAGAGACAACCTTTAATTATTTTCCACGGCCCCAGACTAAGGATTTAGACATTTTTATGTGATGGCCATATAAATAATAGGGTTGTCTGTGGTTTTTAGAATTTGCTGTAGGTGTTTAGGATGGCTTATATGAATGTGAGATTTCCCAGCCTGAAATTGCGTCCCAGTCCGGCCCTGTACGGAGTGGAGGGGAAGAGGGGAGACAGATAGCATAACATAGTCCTCGGATTCAGCCAGTTTTATTTCACTCTCATTGAGTTAAAAGCATTAAAGATTTCCCAAATGCACGCTGCAATTCACTATTACATGCAACAAAATGAATGTAGATTTTAAATGGTTTTGTAAGCTCACTCACTGTACATTACACAAACAAACACATACGCTGTGACCGCTATAATTTAATTCACAGCCATTTGCATTTGTACTCCGCATTGGAAATATATGTGAGCATGCTGTTGCATATTTAAATACTTTTAAGGCTTATTTATATAAGCTGTTTAAATGGTTATATCAATGAGCTGTAAGGACCGGCTTCTCATAGCATAAGAACATGCAGTCTCATGAATAACTGTGACACCGATGCGTCATCAAAGTACTACAGTCATTTGCCACGTCACTACCTGTGATGTCAGCACAATGTTGATTTTAAACCTGGAAGACAAAAAAAAATAGCTCAGAATTAACCAGTTTTCTCCTACTAACAGAACATAGTCCTTTATGATGTGCAACACAAACAGTTTTGTTAAAATAGTTTAGTATGACCCTTTAAAAGTTGGATTGCATACACTCACATAAAGCGATATATACTATATAGCAAGTCTCAACTGCCTGGTATCTTAATTTTGTCAAAAAATGTAACTTTTATCGCCCAGCTCTGTATATAAAGTTGGATATATAAGTATGTCCAGCTTTATTTGCATACATACAGAATACTCATGGTGGGATGTAGTGTATAGAATATCTCAACTGCTTGATTGCGCTTATCGTCACAAAATGTAATCTATATTATCACCCAGCTCTGATCTGCTAAATGTGACTTGAAGATATTGAGATATTAAAAACATTAACATCATGGTTTTCTGTAAAGCTGCTTTGAAACAATGTGTATTGTAAAAAACACTACTAATAAACTTGACTTGATCTCAACATTTGGCAACAGACTGATGAGGGCAGCAAGTTTTATAAGAGTCACATTTCTCATTTCTAATTATTTGATTCTGTTTAAAAGAATCATTATAGAAAACTTGAATCATTAAAAAATTGTTTACGTTTCTTATGATTCTTATCCCTAGCCGAGAACAGACTTAGTGTAATAAGCTAGTTTAAGATGATTTTTTTTTAGCATCTTATACTGTGAGCATTGCTTTTTTAAGAATGCTTGTCAAGATCAAATAGTTCAGTTCTTTTGCAGTCTGCCCATTGTTTTTGTACACAAAAAGACATTTCCTGTGTGAATGCTCCCTAATGCACGTGTCTAATAGTCTTATTGTTCAGTGCTTCCTTAGGCCAGTAGGTCACCACTGATTAGTGGGTTTCGAAAGCATGTAGTTTTGAACATCACACATAATTTTGATGCATTAATTAATTACATGTTTTGACTCTGCAGAAATCACCTCAGACAGAGAGCTGCACTGACAGTGGGGCGGAGAATGAAGGAAGCTGCCACAGTGACCAGATGAGCAATGATTTCTCCACGGATGATGCCGTGGACGAGGGCATCTGTCTGGATAACACCAGCAGCACAGAGCGGGTGCTCAAACCAAAGGTCACCTCATGTCCTCTCTGAACCCAAACGCTGAAGACGTATTGAACTATAGAAGATGAAAGATGAATGAACATGCTTTTTCTTGTCTCCTTTATAGAGCTCCTTGACCTTTGAACTCTTCTCAGTCATGGTGCATTCTGGGAGTGCTGCAGGTGGGCACTACTACGCCTGCATCAAGTCCTTCAGTGACAGCCAATGGTACAGCTTCAATGACCAGCACGTCAGCAAGGTCAGCCAGCTACCATCAGTCTTAAAGGAATATTTCACACCGAAAGGAAAATATTGGGTCTCATTCACTAATAATTGTGTGGATTATTCATATACATATATACACACACACACACGCACACACACACACACAGAGGAGAACTTTTCACGAAAAAGAAGAAAGTATTATAATGTTTGCCTTTCTATTACTAATAATATAAAAGCTGTCATTACAAGACTTTTTGTATACATTTTAATTCTTTTGTTTAACCGTTCTATCTGATTATTAGACAGACTTTTATCTGTATTTAGACAGAACTGTTAACGACAACAGCGAACAAGAGGGAGAATGTGAGCACTGTGTGCCCAGGCGCTGCCGTTCTCAGCGCCGTCAAAATAAAAGTCCCGCCTCGAACACAACGGCCAAACAGGAAAACTTATCGGCCAATGCCGATATTTTAAACAAAGGTCAAATATCGGCCGATATATTGGCCTTGGCGATATATCGGTCGACCACTAGTTAGAATACTGTGCTAAAGGACATCATTGTCGATTGAAAAGTTACATTAATAAATTTAGCAGGCAGATATTCACACTGATTTATTGGGTAGGTAGGGAGGTAGCTGAGCAGACAGCAACACACAAATAATATGAGTCACAGCCTAATAATGCAGCCTAATACACACACACACACACACAGAGGAGAACTTTTCACGAAAAAATCAACAGATTTGTTAACGTAATTCTAACGTTAATGAATTTAAATTGTTCTAAATAAGCAACCACGTGCCCGAGGTTAGTCATTTGCCTAAAACACACCCAAGTCATCTCTATTTAAGGGCATTTCGTACAATCTTTCAACTATGCATTACTTTTCTTTATTTGTGTCCCTTTTGCTGCTTGACAATGTAAATTTATTCTAAATTTTTGTTTGTACAGAAAGAGAATAGTACAGGGTTGGAGGGTTGTAATACAGGGTTGTAATTTGTGTTGTCACCATCATGTGTGCATTCCAGATCACGCAGGATGACATCCGGAAGACATATGGCGGATCCTCAGGGAGCAGAGGCTATTACTCCAGTGCCTTTGCCAGGTGTGTGAAGCCTCCTTACATTTGTGATCTCTGAGATGCCATATAAGACCATTGTAAAACGCATTATAATGTAAAGTATGCTATAATGCCCATTTTGATAAAATCTTCTACTTTTACGCCCCAACAGCTCTACAAATGCATATATGCTCATGTACAGACTAAAAGACCCCTCCAGGAATGCAAGTAAGAAGTGGAAATTTACATGGATTGGATGTTGTTAATGAATTAATTTTCTCAGTATCAGAAAACATTCCCAGTGATCTCGGTCCCTCTCTGAGATTCTGGAATGTAATAGACTCTGTGTGTGTTTGCAGAATTCCTGGAAGTGGAGGACTTCCCAGAGCACATAAAGAGACTGATGCAGCGAGAGAAAGAGTCTGAAGAACAGGAGAAGAGGCAAAGAGAGATTGAGCGCAACACATGCAAGGTAAACTGCATGAAGAGATTTGGACTCTGTTCCAAACCCTAATGAGCTGCCTACATAGACAGCATTTTAGGCATTACAGGTGCACTTTTAATGCAAAAGCTGTTCCAAGCAGTGCGCAACAGAATTTGACCTAAATTAGGTATAATTTAAGGCAACATTACATGTGTTAAGCCACAAAAATTTGATGGTGGTTAGGGTCAAAGGAAATACAGATAAAAATTTTGTACTGTAAAAAGTATTTTTCTAAGTTGTAAATAAGACATATTGGAGTATGTTTTACAGGAAAATCCTGACTTTGTGTGGTGCGCTTTATTGACCATTATGAGGTTTCTTGATGTTTAGGTTGATGCCTTAAAAGACCTGTGTAGACAGAGTCTGTGTTTAGAATAGAGCCTTATTATTCTGTCATATTCCATTAGATCAAGCTATTCTGCATGCATCCAGTGAAAATGATGATGGTGGAGAATAAGCTAGAGGTTCACAAGGACAAAACTCTCGGAGAAGCAACAGAAATGGCATACAAGGTGAGTAGGGCCAGTGCAAAATAAAGTTATATTTCACCTCTGCATCAGATTGCCTAAGTGTCTCTTAATTTATCACTGATTGTTTCCTTGTGTTTGTCTGGGTGCATTGTGTGATTGTCCTCTGGGTGATCAGCTGATGGATCTTGAGGGAGTGGTGCCACTGGACTGCTGTCGATTGGTCAAATATGATGAATTTCACGAATATCTAGAACGTTCGTATGAAGGGGAGGAAGACATGCCTATGGGTCTGCTGCTCGGCGGGGTGAAATCTTCATACATGTTTGACCTGCTCCTGGAGATCCGCAGGCCTGACCAAGTGTTCCAGCCCTACAAACCTGGAGGTATCTACTGAGCAGAACGTTTGCAATATACTCTTACTTAAAGTATGCAATCAAGATACCCCAAAAAAAAAAAAACATAAATACATAATTATTTTGCTGTCCTTTGATTTCTACAGTTCTCATTATGGTTGACCAAATATCCTTTCAAAATGGCCTAACCGTAAACTGCTGACTATGTTTGTGTGTTCATTGCAGAGGTGATGGTGAAGGTCCATGTGGTGGATCTGAAGAGTGAGTCTATTGCTGCTCCAGTCAGTGTCAGGGCTTATCTCAACCAGACTATTACAGAGTTCAAGCAACTCATTGCACAGGTACAGAATCTCAGTTTTTGAGTGAATACACTGCTCTGTTATTCTATAAAGGGCAATGTCCATGAATAGGGTTAAAAATTGTCCCATTATTCTTTTTCTTTTTTTTATGCATCGAGCGCCCAAGTCCAATGTCCTTTAGAGAAAAAACAATTAGATATGGTAGATAAACTATTATCTAACTCTTAATTTCTAAAGTCCCACCTTAAAATAACCATACAGCAGTGTCACAATTTTTACATATGTAAAAGTGATATTACAAGTCTTTTTTTTTTTTTGCATTACCAAAGATGACCTTTTCTTCACTTACAGGCAAAATCTGAAAGCCTTGACTTTTTTTTTTTTTTTTTTGTACTTTCTTGTATGTTTTTCAAATATTTTATTTACATTTTCATGTATATTTGGAATGCTTATTTAATTTTAAATTAATATTTATCTTAATTGTATAGTGTTTTTTTTATACTTTAAAAACACATGCCAAATATATATATTTTAGGGTGTTTCAAGCACTGTTTTGTTCCCTATTTGTGGAAAGTGTCAAAGACTGTTGAAACAGATGTCTGCTTCCATCTCACGTCTGGTCACCTTGTGTATTTTCAGGCCACGGGGCTTTGTGCGGAGACGATGCGTGTCGTCTTAGAGCGCTGCTATAATGACCTTCGGCTTCTTTACGTGCCCAACAAGACTCTGAAAGCAGAGGGTTTCTTCAGGAGTAACAAGGTTAACTTGCATAACACTTACTTTAAATGCTCTTTTCTAAAACTTAGTGAGCTGCCTCACTGTATACATGGTCAGCTGCCTCCTGACCAAAGGAGAACATGGCTGGTTTTGAAATGTTCTTTGTAAACAGTTTATAAACAACTATCATGCATGGCATACAATTCTCACTCCTCCAATAAGGTATACAAGAGATGTAACTATCCCTCTTATTATATACTCTTAGTGCAAAATACATGACACTCAAAAATATTTGCTAAAATAGTTTTTATAATTTTGAAACATTTTTTGATTTTTTTCAGAGCCCATTGCAGTGCATTCTGTTATTGAATATATATGCAATCCATTACAAAAAAATTTGTATACTTTGTTCATTTTAAGTAAAAATCAGTGTACTAGTGGTATACATGTAATAGTACTATTTCAGTTTTGCTTTAAGAGTAGTTTAACAGTAGTAGAGTTGAAATGCACAACTAGTTTACAAGTTTTATCAAACTTACAGTTTATTTACTAGCTATATGCATAACGTTTACTTATTATTTTATGAAAGTATACTTTGAAGTGTACTCTCAATTAAACTAAAAGTCAAATAGTTTTTATACTGAAATTATACTTCTAAGTTTTCTTTAAGTGAGCTTAAGTTCTGCCTTATATATTGCCAATTTTTAGCGATCTTTAGCTGACCTACTTTTTGAAATGGCCTCCAGATCGTGAGCATGCCTGTGTCTTACAATTCTGTTCCAAAACCTGGAGAAAGTTTAACAAGTGTTTAAGATCCTTCTTGAAAGAGAGATTTTTGCTTCATTGTCCCTTAATTTTGCCTGTTTCTATAAGATGCTCTTGTTTATGCTCAGGTTTTCGTGGAGAGCTCAGACTCAACGGATCATCAGGCCGTTTTCACTGACTCTGTTTTGTGGAAGCTCCTGGATCGGCACGGGAACACAATCAGACTGTTTGTCTCCTTGCCCGAGCAGTCGCCAGGCTCTTTGGCCAATAGAACTAGTTGCCCCAAAGCTAACGCTGACTCTGAGGACTCTTTGGAGGGGGCAGAGGGCAGCAGGAAGTCAGTGGAGGCCATTCTTGAAGAGAGCACAGAGAAGCTGAAGAACCTTTCTTTACAACAACAGCAGCAGCAGCAGCAGCAATCCTCCAGCACCAGTGACAGTCAGAAGAGCTCAGAACACAGCGACTTCGAGCACATTGAGTCACCAGCACAGGAGCCGGATGCTGCCTCGCAGTCTTCCCAGATGGAGAACTGCACACGGGCCGCCTCAGACACGGAGAACCAGTTCCCCTCTGAGGAGCGCTCTGACTCAGACGCCAATAACGACCGCAGCACCAGCTCGGTGGACAGTGACATCCTGAGCTCCAGCCACAGCAGCGACACGCTGTGTAACGCCGACAGCGGCCCGCTCCCGCTGGCTAACGGCCTCGACTCGCACAGCATCACCAGCAGCCGGCGCTCCAAAGCACACGAGGGGAAGAAGGAAACGTGGGACACGGCGGAGGAGGACTCTGGCACGGACAGCGAGTACGATGAGAACGGCAAGAGAAAAGCTGACTCCCAGTACCTGTACTTCAAAGCAGAGCCATACTCTCAGGAGGACGGATCTGGAGAAGGACAGAAATGTAAAGTCTCTCTGATTGATTATTGTTTTATTTAGGAGATCTTAGTCAGGGTAAATGTGGAATGAAAACAAGGAGAGTGGCATTTGAAATGAATACTTGCCAAGTACCAAATTTAAACTGAGTAACACTGGTCCATTATAGGGCTGCCCTATATATTGAACTAAAATCGTTATTGCGGTATGGTTTAATGCAAAAATAATTTTGTTAAAGCTGTGATTTAAATGAACACAGTGCATTTTTCATTAAATCACATCCTTTGCAATTTGACTGTCACGTTAAGGTATGTTACAATAATAATTTTGTTTATATATCGTGTATATAATGCAGCGCATATTTTTATTCTTTAGCAAACGGTCAATATAAAAGCTTGACAGTTTTATGTTAAAATTTTATGTTAAACAGTCGTTAAAATTTTGAATGATGAAAATATTAGTTTTGTCATTTTATAGTGTACTATAAAATACAATTGTTTAATTAACATTTTATAAATACATTTCCAATAGTACATTTTTCAAGTTCATCCCAAATCAAAGGATATGCACTCAAAAAAAAAAATTAGTTTTATTTTCTATGCAGATTCTCCCCAACAAAATCACCTCAATCTTTCTAGATTGATTCGTTTTTTTTTTCTCCAAATATAACCTTTCAAGTCAATAGATGAAACTTGCTGTATTTTATCATATATGTGAACCTGGACCACAAAACCAGTCATAAGGGTCAATTTTTCAAAATTGAGATTTATACATCTTATACAAGCTTATACATAAATAAGCTTTCCATTGATGTATGGTTTGTTATGATAGGACAATATTTGACCGAGATACAACTATTTGAAAATCTGGAATCTGAGGGTGCAAACAAATCAAAATATTGAGAAAATCGCCTTTAAAGTTGTCCAAATGAAGTTCTTAGCAATGCATATTGCTAATCAAAAAATTTAGTTTTAATATATTCACAGTAGGAAATTTACAAAATATTGTCATGGAAAATTATCTTTACTTAATATCCTAATGATTTTTGGCATAAAAGAAAAATCGATAATTTTGACCCATACAATATATTTTTAGCTATTGCTACAAATATACCCCAGCGACTTAAGACTGGTTTTGTGGTCCAGGGTCACATATAGTACAGAAAAACTAAATATTGCAATGCCAGTTTTGTTTCCAATATTGTACAGCCTTAGTCCATTGGATGGTAACATTTTTAAAAACTACAAGATTATGGTTTAAATCTAAATCTAAGGATGATTTGACCCCTTTTTTTTTAATCAGATGTTAGTAAAACCATAGAGAATCAAACGTTTAAACTAAAGGCTAACCAAACTAAAGGCCAGTGAACTGTCTTAGACTGGTTTGAGCAAAATTTTTTTTTTTTAGAAATTTGGATGGGAAGCCAAAAAAATAAAGTAATTCCTGAACTCCATTTGTTGAAACATTCATTATTCTGATCCAACAAAGAAAAATAAGGAACAGAAACTAGTTGATGTTTTTGTGTCAGGTGTCTCAGAGAACTGATCCGTATATGATAGCTGAATGACAGTCTGCGTTGTTGACTACACATATGTAGTGGAAAAGCAGCTAAATAGTACCCTTGACAAAACCCCTGATTAAAAAAAAAAAAGCAAAATTTAATTCTGAAATATCAGCCATGTATTTCTGTTGAAAAAATTACATGAAAGTTAGTAATATGATGACTGTTTCAGGTTTACTTGTCCATGTTGACAAGAGGATCACACTGGCAGCATTCAAACAGAATCTAGAGCCATTTGTTGGAGTCCCCTCCACTCAGTTTAAGGTCTTCCGGGTTTATGCCAACAACCAGGAGTTTGAGAGTGTGCGGCTTAATGAGACGCTCTCTTCTTTCTCTGATGACAACAAGGTGAGATTCTGTCTTTACTTTCTCCTATCCTAGCTTAATATACAATATCAACTATGCTTGGTTATTCTTGCAAATCCATTTAGCGCCACTAAAGGAGCATAAATGACACACTGCATTTTTATATGCACTGCTGCTCTGCCGTTGAACAGATCACGATTCGATTGGGACGTGCACTGAAGAAAGGAGAATACAGGGTGAAGGTGTACCAGCTGCTAGTCAATGATCCAGAGGTGAGAGACAAAAATTTTAAAAATGGAGGTGCATTTAGTTAATTCTGCAGTGGAATGAGTTTTCTGAAATTTACCAAAAAAGATGTTTGTGCACATGTAACATGTATTTTGTTTTGACAGCCCTGTAAGTTCCTTTTGGACACTGTGTTCGCTAAGGGAATGACTGTTCGACAGTCTAAGGAGGAGTTGCTGCCTCAACTCAAAGACCAGTGCAAACTGGACCTCAGTATAGATAGGTAAGCCCATATCAAACATTTTAGATTTTTCCTTCTAAAGGCCCTGAAATACTTAAAGCGATTTTATCGCTCTTTGCAACAAAAATGACAACCATGAGACGTCAGAAGTTAAAAGCATCTGATCACAGCGATGTGGATATGTTTACCCGAGCTCTGCAATTTGGCACTCCAGTCGAGTCACGTCATGTTTATTTATATGGCACTTCATACAATAGATTGCTTTAAAGCAGGGGTAATCATTTTGAGTTCTGAGAGGTCCGGTCTCTAAATTTCATTCCCAGCAATGCTTGTTTCAAATAGTTATACATTTCGATCTGGGTACCATTAGTTAGGCCTGTTGCAATAATCAATATATCGACTTATTGCGCAATATATGTACATGACCTCAATAATTTTTGGTGACGCAATATATAGCCCATTATATTTACTTAAAAATTAATGTCACCATGTTTTGTACATTCCACTTGCTCCTGTGTCTTTTGCAGCTTCTTGTACATAATGTAGATTAGTCATGAGGTGCTAGTTCAAATTTTAAAAATGCTTCTACAAAAAAGTTTAATCTGCAGATATGGTTTTGTTTAGGGATCTGTGCCTTTGTGCATACGGACTTCTAAGTAGTGATTGTGTTTTTCAGCAATAGTGTGCACCCTTCATTTACAGAGAAAAGAAGGTCAGGGGAAAATCTGTAGATGGAAAAATCTCCATACAAGTTTTTTTTTTTGCATTTTTCTTTTTTTCTACTTGTTACTTTGCACTTTTTGTTAGAAAATGTTTATTTACTATTTATTCAGGTTTTTTAAGGTATCTAATATTTTGATATTTAATTTCCATGATCTAAATATTCTTAAAAATAACATTTTTGTTGTCATTTGGAAGTGTGTAGGCCTTCTTGCATTATTATGCTGTTACATTATGATTATATATTCAGTGGCATAAAATGGTCTTTAAAATGACAATAATATCGCTTATCGCAATTATTTCTGGGGCAATATATCGCATAACAAAAAGTTGTTATCGTGACAGGCCTACCATTAGTACTTCGTAAAAAGGAAAAGAAAAAAAATCCAAAACACTCCAAATGTCCTCAATGAAGATATTGGGCCCTGACAGCCAAAGCAATGATGTCTAAAAAAAAATTCCAAGCTGGGGTCCATAACTGGACTATTTGAGGACCCCTGCTTTAAAACAAGCATCTTTATAGTATTTATTAAA